ACATGAATACAACTCAATAATGTCTCCCAAAGCAATGATCTTAAACAGAGTCTGAACATTATTGAAGGTTCTAGGGCAGTTATCTAAACCACACATCAATAGCAATTTAAAGAAACAGCTTAAAAAAGTTATTTGGTAAAACAAAAACAACTTTATATGCTTCCAACAGGAGGCATGAAGAAAAAAACATCCCCAAGGGGTAACTGGTTCTACAATACTGGGGACACCACTGAAAATGCCATTCTCATAGCAGATGCCTGAGGTGGTGTTTTGAGTCCTTAATATCTGGCTTATATGGACACCCATCAATATTCCGAAGCCAGACTGTTTAGGGCTTTGAAATTAAAAACTGGGTCTACGCATGTATAAGTAACCAATGTAGTTATATAAAGTGCTCTTTCCAGCTCATTCCCACCTAAAGAAAGGCAGCAGCATTTTAGATTACTTGTAGGTTCCGGACAGTCTTCAAGGGCAGCCCCACATTTAGTTATAAAATATACAAAAATATATATGTGTGTTTATTCAACATAAATTAAAATTACAAACAAGGGCCCATTCATACCTCATATAAAACTATAAAAACATACAAGGGCTAATAAGATAGACCTAATAAGATAGACCTAACGCGTTTGTCTAATACATACAGAACACATTGGCTGATGTGCAAAAATACATACAATCCTACATATACAAAATATGGAATAAAGACCAGAAATCAATTGTTCCAAAGTTTAACCACTGGGCAAGGAAAAGAAATACAAAAATACAAATGAAGCCTCCAGTGTAACCTAAGGAACATTTTATTTGGAACATTTGGCTGTACAACCTCAGAAGAATATACAGTTGACCAGAGAGAAGTACCACTGGACATGTGATTACACTTGTGCATACAATCTTGCCACCCCATAAGACAGAAGACACTCCAAATTCCTTTTATATATAAGGAGAGATGTTTGTTGCACTCTAATATACCAATAACATTGTATTTCATATCTCCTGTCCAGCAAATAACACTAATAAGGGACACCATAAATGCAAGTTGGCCAACCTTCTCACAGAATTCAAAAATAATGATGCACTACCTACAAACATTGATCTGGAGAACTTTTACAAAGATCACAGTGGAATGGGGGGGGGATTCTTCAAAGGAGAGCTAAGTGGTACAAAAATGTGCATTAATAGTACAAGTCTTCTAAGCCAAAAAGAGCAAAGAAATGAAAATGAGCAGAAGAGAGAGTTTAATGTGCAAAAATCAATTTTGACAAACTGTTGTGAAAGTCAATCAAGTCCACACACAATGTAAGATGTGTATTTGGTCCCCCCCCCCCCGTTTTGCAAGTCATTATTTAATATTGCATTCTTTTAGATACACAAAGTCACATCCTGTGCATCTGAAAAACAAAGTGGTAAACTTTTCAAGTGGTAAACTCTGCCATGGGACAGAGACAGGATTGCTTGCCCTCACAGATGATCTCCGCAAACAGTTGGATCGATGCGGGTTGGTGCTGCTGTTGTTGCTTGATCTTACAGCAGTGTTCAACACAATCGACCACGAGCTTTTGACCCACCACCTTGCCAATGTAGGACTTCATGGGGTAGCCTTGAAGTGGCTTACCTCATTTCTCCAAGGTCAGGGACAGAGGGTAGTGCTAGGAGAGAGGTTGTCAACTAGGCACCCATTAGAATGTGGGGTCCCTCAGGGGGCAATTCTCTCTCTGATGTCATTTAATATCTACACGTACCCCCTCACACAACTAGTGGGGAGTTTCAGGCTGGGATGTCACCAGTATGCTGATGACACCCAGACATCTGTTGATAGGTGGCCAGCTGGAGACAACCCTAGCAAACCTGGCTGAGGGCTTGTAGGCTCTGGTGGGTTGGTTGAAACAGAGCCAGCTGAGATTGTATTCTGTAAAGACGGAGTTTCTGTGGCTGGGAAGTGGGAATTCAGGGTTGGAGTGCCATCTCCCAGCTCTTGACAGTGTGCCCTTGGCACTGGCACCAACTGTCAAGAGTTGTGATTCTGGATGCGTCTTTATCAATGGAAGTCCAGATCACAAATGTTGCCAGACTGGCATTTTTCCAGCTGTGCCATGTACAGCAGCTGCCCCCCTACCTGTCTCATCCTGACCTAGCCACAGTAACCCATGCTATGGTCACTTCCAGATGTGAATACTGTAACTTGCTCTGCATAGGGCTATCCCTGAGACTGACCCTAAAACTCCAACTGATCCAGAATGTGACAGCTTGAGTCCTCACAGGGACTCCATGTATGGCACATATTCAACCTGCTTTGTGAGTTGCACTGGCTTCCGGTGGAGAACCAGATCAGGTTCAAGGTTATGGTATTAACCTTTAAGGCCCTAACAGGGACTCATGTATCTTCAGGACCACCTCTCCTGGTATAGCCCCCAACCCCAAAGAGCATTACACTCGGTCAATAAGAACCTGTTGATGATCCTCGGCCCAAGAGACATCCGGCTGACCTCAGCCAGGGCCTTCTCGGCCCTGGCCCCAATCTCTGCCGAATAACATCTGTGCCCTGCGGGACTTAATGCAGTTCTGGAGGGCATGCAAGGCAAAGATGCTCTGCCAGGCCTTTGGTTGAGCACTAATGGAAGAAATTGCTGTTAGGTTCACACAATAGCACTATATAGACAAAAATGAATAAATAAACTTGTTGAGATGACGTTCAATGATGTTTGTAATTTCTATATTTTCAAGACAAAGGACGTCTGACACTGAAGGTAGGTGATACGAACATCTCGAGTGGTAGTTCGTTTCGAGACACAACTCTTTTTCAACCACAATTCAGATTCTCTGGTTGTCTTTTTGTGTACAGAGGTAGTATCAATCTTTTCCAACAACAGTTCCAACAGCCCATAGGCTAACAAGTTTATAATACAGCACGCAGGCTTACTAGTTTTCAGTCCGGACAACAAGACTGTTGTTGGAACGTCATCTCAACAAGTTTATTTATTCATTTTTGTCTATATAGTGCTATTGTGTGAACCTAACAGCAATTTCTTCCATTAGTGTTGTACCTTTAAATTGCTGGTCCCCTTTGTAGATTTATTGTAGGCCTTTGGTTGAGGACAGCAGTGGCTTCCCACCTGGTTGGCACTCCTGTTTCTTTTGCCTTCCCCCCCCCCTCCCAAGAGGCAGTGGCATATTTTTGGCAGTTCCATCACCATCTCACTGGTTATAGGTTACTCTTGCTCTATTTATAGTATGGGTTTTAAATATGATTTTATTATGTATATGTTTTATTCTGATGTATACCACCATAAGCCCTGTCCTTCAGGAAAGGGTGGTTTCACAACTGAACTTAATGATAAATAAATACATTCAAAGAAAAGTTATGATGGCACGATAGCACTGGATGCACAAGTCCGAGGCAAGAGGCTTAGTGAGATACGCCAGAACATTCCAGCTGTAACGGTTGTTGCGGTATTAGGGATGATAATTAAGTGGAGCCTCCATATTCAGAAGCAACATGCCACTGAATAACAGAAGTGCAGAAACAGCAAAGGAGGGCTATGACCTTCATAAACTGATCTTGGGCTTCCTGTGGGAAACAGGAAGCTGGACTACATGGACTTGAGAGCAGATTCTGGGCAAAGAAAGCAATATTTGGGGACAATCAGATAAATGTGCATTGTATCTCCTGTCCCCATGAATGATGATCATCAACCGGAGAGGTCAATTGTTTGAAATATGGGAGGGAAGCAGCAAACTGCTGACAAGTGCTTCCAAATAAAGTATGTGTGCAAGCAATCAAGATTAGCCAAGTTCTATTCGCCAATTTCTTATGTGCATCTGTTCCTTTTTTGCTAAGCACAAATCTATGTTTATGACATCATTTCTGAAAACCCAGTCCTATGGAGCTGAAGTCTTCAGTGTGCGTGCATATATATTCCTCTGTAATGCTGCACATTATATTCTAAAGCAGCAAGTGACATTTAACACACATTTGTAATACCTATACCTATAAAGTGTTCTTCTGTAACCAAAATTATTTACTTCCATAAAAACAATAAAGATTGTTCATTTAAAAAACAGAGCTTGACTCAATGTCCATGGATAGGGACTCCTTGCAGTTGATTGGCTGTGGAGATATGGGGGGTGGTCCACGCCATCAGACATTATATTGCTACTTTCTGTTTAATGAATGTGCAGACAAATCCTTGTCTGAACTGCAAGGGGATCTCTCAGTCTAGTCTACTATAAAGAGCTGTACTAAGAATAACATTGGTTAACTCTCACCTATGCTGCCTTCAGCTCCTCAGAGAGGGGAGATACAAATAATAGGCTTTTCACACAGAGACCTCCTTTTTGGCGATACCAGAGTGGGCTGTAATCTACTTAGTGTAGCCAAGACTTCTTTCCTGCTCTGTATGACAAGCGGAAATTCAACAGATGAAGCTTTTCTCCGACACACCAAGGCAGTACTAGTTGCCAGCACTTTCTAGTTGCCAACTATTTGGTCGGGCAGATTTTGAACAGCTGTAAGATAAGCAAAAATACACGGGGTGAATGGTATGTCGCTCGACCCCCCCCCCCCCATGCCTGGAAAAACTTCTGCAGCGGAACACCTGCTTCTCTGGCACCAGCTTTAAAGCACAGGAATCTTCCTATTAAAACAACAAAAAACAAATTGGCGACCTGTACGGTCAGCGCAGAAGTATTCTGTACATTTGTTCCTCCTTTCAGAGATGCACACGCGCTCATCTTGATCCCCACTACAGTTCAGCAAGCGCCACTACCGCCAGCATGCCAAATAAGCTCCGGGGCTGAATCAAATCAAGCGCCGCGATTCAGCCGCGCAGTAGCCACCGAGCGAATTCCCAGCTCAAAGCTAAGGGCGAGGAGCCGGCGAAGGGAACGGGGAAATCGCAACGCCTCTCGGTGTCCGCCCACAGGGGCGTTGCTGCTTTAGCTGCCAGGGCTTTTTCTTCCACCTCCCACGGACTTGCCTTCGGCCGTTCGGGAGTCTTGCGAGCAGAGGGGCGCAGACAGACGGAAGGACGCGGCTGACGCGATGGACCGTCTCCTTAGCCGGGATCCTGTGGATATTGAGGTACTCGCTTCTCCCTGCAGGGCCTCGGAGAAAGGGACAGGCGTGAGGAGACGCTGTGCGGAGGCAGGAAGACAAACTTTGACCCAGGAATCGGCTGCTGCAGCATTGAAAGGGGACGGGCAGCGTTTCGTGACCAGGACGTTGGGAGCAGGGTTAATGTGGCGAATATGTGAAATGTGGAGTCCCTCGGAGGCGGTGCAAAGGGCCTCTTCCTCCTCATTAGCAGCTAACCTCATAAATCTAGATTAGGGGTCGGTCTTCCAGGTGACTGGATGGATTTTTCAAAAAGCAGGGTTATTTTAGAAATAGCCTGCAATTAGTACTTTTAAGACACCTCCCCCCACACACTCCATTTTAATCAACTTTTCTTTATTGTGAAAGAAAGGCCCTTTCTGCAACCACAGTGGTCTGAGTATTGTATTTTGGCCCTAGTAGTTTGTCTTGTGATCGGTGTTCACTTGTGGATGCAAAGTATGGCCTTTGGCAAAACAATTTTTTGGCATCTGTTCTCCCCCTGTAAAATCAGAATTATTACAATGGAATGACAAACACAGAGATGGGCCAAGACATTTTAGTGCCCGAGGCAGAAATCCAACTGATGTCCCCAGTCCTCAGATAAAAACCTATGTCCCCTCCTAAATTAATACTTTATTATCATAATATACAGTTCCAAAGACCATTTGAGGCAGTTCAGCTTCCTCACCTACCTAATGGAAGGGTTGGTCCTCTATAAACAAGATATTTGAGTATTAAGTATTAAGGAATAATAAAAAAATAAAAAACGTGTAGTGAATCATATCGAACATTACATTCCTACTTGCACTCCTGTTTTCAAGTTGGTCCACAGACACTGCAGCTCAGCATTTACTTCATTGGATCTGACCTACTCTTAGGCTGTGAATAATGTAGAAGAAACTGAATGGGGGGTTACTGATGTGAGACTGGATGTAAGGAACTCTTGTTATTTCATGGTTAACTTTTCCCTTCTGTCGAAGACTCATTGTGCATTCCAACTTTCTACACTTATCAACAATTGGTGTACACCTGTATATGCACACATTGGCAAGATTTTGTGTTCATGTGTGAGGTGCAATCCAGGGAGCCAGCCAGACTCTTGCTGATTATGAGTAGGAGGAGTGAATGATGATTTGGGAATCCTTTATTTGAGAACAGGTCACTACAGTTTTCCTGGGAAGAGGAAAGTGCATGCCAATAATCTTGGACTAGTGAAGCTTGTTGATCAGGACCAGGTCACAAAGCAGAAGGAGAAGGTCTGGGAGCATGTTGTCATATAAAAGGTTCATTTTAGAATGTGATTTCTTTTTTTAAAGAATTATTCTCTGATAATCTGGGTGACTATTGAAACTGAGCCAGAGATGAGCACCTCATCCCCATCTAGTTTTGGATTCCTGTGCAGTGTCAGTGCATTGTAACAAACTAATCTGTCTTGCAACCAAGCTTGCCTTTCTGTTCTGTTACATGAGAATTTGGCCCTCCTTGTGCAATAGTTGTGTTTTGCATTCCCATAGGACATACATAAGCGTGGGGGGGCAGCCACATGTTTCTGAAAGCTTGGTGGTGTACACTAAAGGATCTTACCTGCTGTGTTATTGTACTGCATATCAGTGGCACCTTGAGTCCATTTTCCTTCTCACTTTAGTATGAGAACTGCTATTATAGCTGTGGGAAATGCTATTGTCATGTGAAATGGCCCTGGGACATCAAGGATGGGAGTTACTTTTTCACCATTAGCAGCTGCTTTTATAGTTCTAGCCACAGTACAGGAGTACCAAAACTTTCCATTCAGTTTTTAAACTTGTGTGTGCTTCACCTTCTGATAGAATTGAGATTTTTCTCTCTTATCACATGAGGCTACTTTTGCTGTGAATTCGAGACTTGAGTGTGGTCACTTAGAAGATAGTACCCTCTACTTTAAATTCTGCATTAGATATTGAACATGTGAGTTAGGGCTAGAGTTGCTGGGTGGCTAGGGCTTAAAATGCCTGACTTCATGTTTGTTCTTCTGAACTCGGCCATTTAATACATCTGGACTAGCTGTCCCAAATGGCTTTAAGGTTCATGATGGCTTGCTTAAGATAAGCCTTACTGGAATGATGTAGTCTAGCACTATGTTTTTAGAAGTGGCCAACAAAATGGTCCTGTGATGCTTATAAGGCAGGCATGAAAACATAAAAACACTTTTAAAAACTCGAATTCTGGAAAAAAAATTAAACTATCTTCACTATCTATTTATTTATTTATAATATTTATACCTCGCCCTCCCCGCAAACGAGCTCAGGGCGGCTTACAGTGGTCGGTACAATGTACCCAGTTTGCATAAAACATTTAGAAACAGATTAAAACAATCATACAATTAAAGTGCTCTATGTATATACTGTGTTCACTAAAGTTCACTATGTATGTACTGTGTAACTCTGATAGCAGAAGAGATAATGCTTCTGGAAAATACTGGGGTTTGATTGTCTGGGGTGGGGGGAGAGCACTAAATAACTGTAGGGGAATACTGGGAGGATTTTGCACAGGACACTTGCAAGGAGATCATGTGGGGAACTTCACTAAACTTGAGAGGACCGGGTGGTTTTCTTTTAATGTAGGTGTCTCCAATCTGGCACTTTTGGAAAGTTGAGACCAGAGAGTGGCTGTCCCAGACTATCACAAGACTGTGTGAATGCTCATAAAATGTTGGGAGATTGCAAGCCTGGCATCCAGCTATGATGGAGGCAGCCAATGGCAGAAGTAGCAACTGGTATTAGGGACAAATTGGTCTTTTGGATGTGTGACATTAAGCCATGTAGAGCTTTATAGGAGAAATCTTGAAGTCCTTAATGAGTTCTTGCAGACTTTGGACATAAGATGCTGTGCTCTGAGTTAGCCCTGTCATGTCAGTTCTGGGCAATGGACAGTCATAAATAAGCATACATCTAAATTAATTAGCACATGAAGATGAGCAGTGAAATTTTTTTCAGCCTCTGGGAATAGTGGCTGTCTTAAATGTAGTTCATTAGGCTCACAGCTGGTGATATGATTAGAGTGCTGTGATTTTTTTCATTTTAACAATCTTGCAGCTTTTTTTTTACTTTTGACATATAGTTTTGACTTTATCACTTAAAAAGAATAGTAAAGCAGTGACCATTACTTTAAAATAGTTGAATGTAGATGTCTGGTTGCCTTTCCAAAGGATATATGGAGGTATGGTGACCTTTCCAATCAGTTGTTTTTCTTTTGGCTATAAATGAGCATTCAGTAGTTGTTAAAGGGCCTTTTAAAGACAGAGATAGTTTCATTCAGAATGCTTCCAAAGTTCAGGCTTTTGTGGGGTTTTTTTTTAAACCACCAGTTTATAGCCAATCTGCAGTCATTTCTATAAGTTATGATCCAATAATCATTAAACTCTAATGTATACATGTTTTTGTTACAATAAATCTATTAGCCTCAAAAGGCCCTTCTGGGTTGACTATAACAAACTAACAGGGCTACCCTTCTGGAATAACCTGTTTGTAATTGGTTTACAATTGGATACAGAGGGCCTAGGGGTGGTGAAAAGAAGTGGCTAGATTGACAGTGGAGGAGGAATCTGATGTGAGCTAAAATTTCATTTTTAAAGCATATTCAGTAGCAGTGATGGTGACAAAGAAACTGTATTTTTCCATCACCATTACATGGTGTAGGCCAGCAGACTTGTTCAGGGTGGTCAGAGACTTGTTGGGATCTGTCCTGCGGGAGGATGCCTACTAGAATTGTTTTGCTCATCAACACTTTACTGATAATATACCAGAACTCTTTTCATTGAATATACTTCTGCAAAATTGTAAAGAGCAAGACACTTATCTTATTTCACATGTAGTTACAACTGCTAGAATATTGTACGCTAAATATTGGAGAAGAAAGGAGACACCTTCAAAAGAAGAAATAATAAACCAACTACTAGAAACTGCTGAAATGGACGAATTAACTTTAATTTTGAAAGGACAGAAAGAGAAATTTTTTTGAGAAAACATGGTCAAAACTTTACAAGTGGATTGAAGAATATAGCAAATGAAACATGATTATAACCAAAACAGAGGACAATAAGAACATTAACAACAAAATGTGCAAAGATATGTTTTACAATATAAGGTGCAGATTTTTTTTATAATGAGGGATGTAGGGATAACAAATAGTCTATTCAAAAAGGTGGAGAGATTCTCCCATTTTGTGTTTGTTTTGTGTGTTTGTGTATGTTGGTTGTTTTGTTTGTTTGCTGTTATAAAATTTAAAATTCCAAAAAACAACACTTTACTGATAATATCTTTCACATTTGTACCAGCTTGGACTCTACATTACCAGAGACAGGGTCAGATAGTGATGGGGTGCCACCTGTTCAGCTGGTTGGGATACTTTTCAGTATATTCAATCTGAGGATGTGGACAAAGTCTGTGGAGGTTTGAGGCACACCACCTGCTTGTATGACCATTCCCATTCCCAGATATTTAAAGTGGTCCAAGAGGCAATTAATGCCTCTTTGAGTGGTTGTGCCAGCCTTGAAACAGGCTGTGGTGCATCCACTACTAAAAGAAGTCTACTCTGAACCTAGAAGATGTCAGTAACTGTTGACCGGTCTCAAATGTTCCATTCTTGAGCAAGGTGATTGAACAGGTGGTGGCTGGATAAATTCAAGCATTCCTGGATGAAAGATTGTTTGGATCATTTTCAGGCCTGATTATGGGACTAAAAGAGCATTGGTCACCCTGGTGAATGACCTGTACTGAGAGATGGGCAGGAGGAGTGTGACTCTATTGAGTCTCCTGGACTTCTCAGTGGTTTTCAGTGCCATTGATCATGGTATCCTCCTGGACAGCTTTTCTTGGCTGTCCAGTATGTCCATGACACCACTGGGTGATGTCATCTAGAGACTTGGGTGGAATTGTCATCAATGACAGCTCCATTTTGCACTTCTGACTGATCCTGGGTGTCAGGATCCACAGCAAGTAACTCTTCAC